ATCCTATATTGTGGTTTAGGTTTATTACTATTATTATTATTATTATTATTAATATTATTATTATTATTATTATTATTATTATTATTATTATTATTATTGTGTTTGATTTTACGTTTAATGCTTTGTTCTCATGTTTCGTGTACCATAATTTTTTATTTATTTATTTAATGTTTTTATAGGGGATAAAGTCTTACTTATTTTGACCTCCTTTCACACTTCCAATTGTTATTTTTTCTACCATTTATACTGACTATGTAACCATGTATTTCTATACTATTGTCATTATGTTAATTTTGTAATGTTAATTTAAAGTATGAAGAAACCGATATAATAGAAAAAATAAACAAACAAACAAACAAATCATCAATTCCTATTTTTATTTTTTAATTTAAAAATTTAGGTTAAGCCTACATTGTACGTTATTTGTAGTCATCTTGTTTTGTCAGTCGCAGTTAACCTTTGTTTATTATTTGTTTTTCTCTCATGTTTGAGAGTGTAGAAAGGAAAATGGACTCACGTCCCTGTAGCCAAGGCTTTTTTTTTTGCACACACATAAAAACAGAGACAAAAGACAGCACAATCAAAAGAAGAGTACTGTAATTAACAATCAATCAGAAAGAAATCAGAAATGTATTTTGAAAATGACTCAAAATTTCCGTGAAGCTGAAGCGCCGGACGCACGTTCCGGATTGTGGGAGTGGAATTAAAAGGAAAACGTAAGTGCATTGCTTCTAGCAAACCTATGCAGAAGACAAGGACAACCTCTGTGGGGACAAGAGTGACATAATTGTCAACATTCTAAGGATATCGGCTGTAAAGAACGAGTATATCCTGTAAGGCTTTAAAAAAGTGATACTTTTTAATAAGGCTTGAACTTGAACTTGACACCGTAGGGTTCTAAGCACTCTGTCTTATCATTGGCTTTATGTATTATAATTTCATTTATTGCTTAAGGATAGTAGTATTTGGCAGGCAGTTGGTTATTATGTCCAAAATCACATGTTTCAATGTGTCGCATATTATAAAAATTTTACAACAGCCAAAGACCCATTTGCATTGCTTTAGCTGGGATTAGGTACATTAATCAATTTTTTTTTCAAGTTTAAAGGAGAAAATAAGAATTTTTACCGATGTCATGACGGCCAGATACATTTGAATATTTCAGCTATCAGTACCCGTAGGCCTACTTTTTATATAAGAATATTATCGTTCATGCAATGATCTATTTTAAAATAGTGTCGATCGTCATTCACACACTAATATAATAATTATATGCGTTTAATATTATTTACATCAGTGATAATTGACACTATATACAGCACCTTGTGTATAAAGAACTAGGCCTAATTTAATGAAACTTGAGGACAATATCTCCTATTATACTAATTAATGGCAAATATATTCAAGGGAAGGGACATAAATGTAATAAATATAGGTAGTACCTCTTTATAGATCACATCTTAGGGTTACAAAATCATTTTCTCTGGCATTGAAAACAATTTATAAAAAACAATATTTTTTATTATATTTTTTCTTATAATGTATCATGTGCCCGAATAAATAATAGTGATGATGATGATGATGATAATAATAATAATAATAATAATAATAACAGCAATGAAAATAACAAAAAAAAAACCCAATAAATATAAAACAAAGACAAGGTCTAATATCTTTATAGAATTATACACGCTCGAGTTGTTTTCCTTTTTTTCATTGGAAATCATTCAACACAATATGGTAAAGAGCACTTCTAGGCGTGGTTTACAAATGAAAAAAAAGAAGTAACAGGAGAATAGAGAAAGTAAAATACTTATAATAACAATAGCGACAGAATCATCATAATGTAATAAATTGCGTCATAGAGCGTCCCTTAGAAATAATGACAAATACTATAATATATAGTATCATTCATAGATGCTATAATGAAGATAACCAAATCACGGTAATGTTAGTGCGCGACATTTTTTTGTCAAATAAAATTCAGTGATTGGTCTTCTGTAGCCTATCCACAAAACACGCGTGCGTATAACTCCATTTATATATTAATTTATATATTGTTATTGTTATCCATTTTTTATTGTATTGTGACTATGTATTTTTGTAAATTTTAATAATTGTATTTATTTTGGTTTACTTCTCCTAATCTGCCTATGGCCATTGGCGTCTTTGTGGTCAAATGGTACGACACTCGCCATGACATTGAGAGATCACTGGTTCTGTTTCCACCAGGGGAACTTTTCCAGTATGTTTGTACATCATTTTAGCCCATTGTAAAATTATGTTAATAACCATTGCCATAAAACCTACCTGTATAATTGTAAATATCGTATAGAGTGGCATTGAGATCAACCCATCTAGTGCAGTTTTGACACCACGACCGTGGCTTGGTACAGGCAGAATTGTAGTATCCATAATATTGCTTTCCAATCAGATCAACACAGTCCCATTGTCCTGTGAAAAAATATATTACTTCTTTCAAAAACATTGCATGGACATAGAATAAAAATCAACATCTACCTACCGCTGTGTCGCTTAACCTTGGAATATGATCTCTATTGTTATATGTCCTGGTTTATAATTGCTACACAGTATCTAATGGAAGCAATGATAATGAATAGGGACGTGTCTTGTCCCCCTCCCCACCCCAACAATTGTTTTGTTTTTATTACCGTCAACTCTAAGGTAGAAGCCGGTTTGATTGGCTCGTTTACAGATAGGAGTAGTAAAACTATATTTTTACCATTTTTGGAGAGTTGGGAGATGATGAAGATGATGATGATGATGATGATGATGATGATGATGATGATGATGATGATGATGATGAAAAAAAAACAGCAAGATAAAAAACGGCATGATGATGATGATGATGAAGACGACGACGATATGATTTCTTATCAGATTATGCATTTATTTAAATAATCTAATTTATATGAATTTGAAGATAATCAAGCGGCGTATCGGTAATAATTTAATTATAAGAAAACACTGTTCTTACCTTGTATTTGCTGAAAACAAATTACAAAAACAAGTACGTATAACATTGTCTTCAGAATAACCATTATAGGTCTATGTGTGTTTAGCTCCATGATATGGTCAACAGAGTATTCATCTAAAGAGTGAATACCAATCTGATTCGTTTATCTTTTTGTTAACATTAAAAAGGATACTGTAGTAAGTAGGTGTATGATTATTTTGACAAATGACGTCATCAGACGTTCACCCATCTTATTGGGTAGAATGAAAGCAGGGCATTAAACGGTGTTCAGCATTAAATGCTGCAATTAATATTCATGTAGGCTAAATAATTTGCTGGTAAAATCGTTACCACGCTGGTATTAGGTAGCATGTGTAGGCCTATCCTTCATTTTAAGCAATTATAAGCATGACAAGGAACTCGTTGCAAACTGGAATTAACTATTATTAAGGATAGACCTATGTGTGATTAATAGCATGTGCTGTGAACTAATTTGGAGAGAGTAGAAACGAGGTGGCGCGTCTTACAAGTTTTTTTATTTATTTTTTTTTTTTTTGTAAGTTACATTGTATGTTGGCATTATGGAACGTTACTTTGGTCGTTACACAGTGTGTGATGTTTTCACATGCTAGACGATAATTATGCATGACGACACCATACAAGCCACGCCCCCCTCGGCTGAGGTGGTTGCAAGACGTGGTACACTGACTGTCTCTTATACACATCTAGATGTGTATAAGAGACAGTAATTAACCTACCTACCTTGTCATCCAGTTGGTAGGTCAAGACAACCATCTTCTTCCACTCTTCACTATTAATTAAGTGTTTTCTCTTTTGAGCATCTGTTATTTAGGGAATTATTTTATTTCTGTATTTTCTTTTTCTTAATCTCTATCTGGTCTACCATCATATCTTCCCTTAATCACAATGTTCAATAATCCTTCTTTTCTAATATAATGGTCAAACTTTTTCTTTTGTTGTTCTGTTATTCGTTTTTTTTGTTTTTGCTTTTGTTTATTTGTCTTTTTTCTCCAACTGGATCAATGTCATGCATTTATTCTGTACTTCCTCTTTCCTTTTGTCCATGCTTCGCAGCCGTAGGCTACAGTCCCACCATACTAATGACAAACTATTTCCATTATTTTTTCAAAACTTGCTTTAGGCCTACTTCTGGGTCGGATCAAGAGATGTGCAAAAGGGAGAAGAAATGGGGACTGGCGTCCGAGACAACACTACCCTAGGGGTCCGGAAAATTTTTGTTTTTTAGAAGCCCAAAAATAACCCCTGAGGCGTTTTGAACGATTTTTGTTTTTTGTTTCTTTTTTTTTTTTTTTACTTTGTAAAAATGGTGGGGGGGGGGGAGGCTTTTTTCCTCGACGTCTCAGCCAAGCCGATTGGTGGCGCTATAATTTGATTTGAATATTCATTCTCTGGCGTGGCCTGTCGGAAAACCTATCAACAACGGTAACAAAAATTAATACAACATAAAGATGACTAAATCTAGGTTAGTCCACTCAATAACTCATCATATTCACACCAGTGCGCATATAATAAATAAAATTTATAAACAAAAAGCTTTTAGTATCCTCTCGACAAACTTTGGCCTACTCACTCAGGCCCGTAGCCATGTTCTTCCAAGGGGGGCGTGAGGTCCACGGTAGAAGCCACGGTGGGGTCGGCGAAACCCCAAAGGCAAGAGGATTTTTTGTGCTTTCTATGGGTCTAAATAATGATATAATGTTTGAAGACGTCTGTGTCTGGGTGGGTCTGCAGTGCATTAGTTGGGTTGGAGGACTTATTAGGACTTATTAGGAAAATAAGGCCTACCAGAAGCAAACACACAGCACTTAACTTATTATTTTTTTTTTTACAATTATTCTAGTGATAGTATATAACTTTTATAGCGTGATCACTAACTTATTAATGTTCCAGGCTGAACTTTGCAAGAAAATTTAATTAAAATTGTACGAGTAGTAGGCCTATGTTCATAACTTGTAGGCTGCAGGTCCATTTGCGTGGCAAATATATTTGAAATTTTGTGTGGCAAATAAGAAATTAAAAATATTATTTTCTACAGCTTTACCAGCTGCTATTTCATGGCATCCAGAGGTGCCATTATTTCCAACATAGACTCTCATCCATACTAACTTTATATATATTGTGGCTGCCCCTTGAGGGGGAAGAAGAGGCTGTAGGTTGCCAGCATCTATTTCCGGACATTCATAGGCGCCAAACAAGTTGTTTACCAACGTGTGGTGTTATAGAGTTAATATGATAATTCTCTCAGACCTCAACTAACTTCAAAATCCTGTAGCTGTGGATAGAGATAGCGGGTCTCTACTCTTCATTTACTACAAAATTTGTCAAGTGCTCATACTACCCCCACCCCCACGCACAACCCCCTCACTATAATGGCCGGACCACTTGCAAAATGCTTCCGACGGCTATGTAAAGAGGAGGGTTTGCCGGAAAAGGGGGGGTTCTCCCGAACCATAAACCGCCCCCCCCCCCCTCACCCGGATACGAGCCTGCCACTCAATAAGTGGAAGGTCATGTGCGTGCATACAAAATCTGGGCAGTCGTATTCCTAGACTGGGTTCCAGTCCCTAATCTTTGTCTTAATCAGTTGAAATGCTTAAGAATAAATCGATTTTGGCACAAATGACGTTCCATATTACTTATTTGCATGGCGTTCCATAGTATACTTTTTTTACTTTTTCAAATTCTCATCAAAAAAGTTTCTCAACATAAACTGACGCTGGTGGCGCTTTCCGAAATGCATTAATGTACTACGAAAAATCCATAAATTAGAGACTTGTGGCAAGTCTATCGTATTCCCTTAGAGGTGAATTACAGCGCGGTAAAGAGAAGGACCTTTGCTAATGAATATTCATATCAGAGCCGTAGCTTTGATTCATATCTCTAATTTATAGGAAATCTAATTCATATAATATTATAGCGCCACCCATCGGCGAAATGACTTAACTTGTTCTATTCTTTTACCATTGATATATACAGTACTTCAATTAGCATTTTTTGGCAACATTGATCATGTAGCGTTTGCTTAACCTCCATCTCTGTATAATTGAAAATTGGTCGATGAGATTTTTGTTGACTTAAAATTGGAGTTCCAAGATACACTGAGTTAAATCTAGAAGTGTTATCACATTTCTCTGCAAATAAAAACACAGGCCTACTGACTTTCACAGTCAAATTCATAAAGAAAATTAATCTATGTTAACACGGGGCTGGCAGTCATTTAAATTAAAGAGGTGAAAGAACAGTGTTGACCTTTGGCGAGGGAGGAATTGGTGAGGTTTTCACTGTGCGACAAATATAATATATACATGTACAAATAATGCAACTCTGGAAAGTAACAAATTGAGACCATAATTGATTCTACGATTCGTTCCTTATTCGGACATGTTCTAATTATGAACAAAACGTAGAGTCAATTATGGCCTCAGGCAGGTTTATAATTTTTTGGAGTTCTAATAAAGAACTAATCGTCGAATCAATATGTGGCCGCACATTTGTCATTCTTTGGAATTTCAATACTCATATTCTATTTACGATTAATCAGTAGATCATTTGGTTTTATATATATATATATATTGCATAGCACACTCATTTTGGGTTTGTGCACTCTTGTATTCATAATCAGTGTACCACGTCTTGTGTGACGTGGTACACTGATTATGAATACAAGAGTGCACAAACCCAAAATGAGTGTGCTATGCAATATATATATATATGTATGTATATATATATATATATATATATACAACTCATATGTAATTTACGATTAGTCAGTAGATCATTTGGTTTTAAATGTGTGTATATATATATCTGAGTATATATATATATATATATTATACATATACATACTGTATATAACATATATATATACAGTAATATATAAATATATATACAATAACAACAATAATAATAATAATAATAACAATAATAATAATAATAATAATAATAATAATAATAATAGGCATACTTATATAGCGAAAAATGCCGGAGCTTCTTGCTTCCCCGCGGGTGTGTGGGAGGACTTCACGCTGATTTCCAAGAGGCTCCATCACGGGACGCTGCATGATCCCTGGCCGGCTTTAAATATGGTCTTTAGATTTCTCTAAGGCAAGATGAACTATTGTCATGACAACAAAACAAGGTGAACATGAAATTTGGTTCCCTTAAGATTATTTGGACTTAATAATACTGTATATATAATTAAAGGCTGATAAAAATATATACAGTAAAATAAACAAAAAGTTGAGTTGCAAACATGCGTTGAGTTATGAACAAATTATTTCCTGCATTTAGAGGGAAAATAATTAATAGTACCTAAAATATTTTAATATGAATATACAGTTACTGCACGCTGTTATTCTTAATTTTTAAAAAAATCATGATTGTCGCTCGGACATCAAGTCATGTAGGCCTACTCGTTTTTCGCAACTTTCCATAATAAAATATTACCAATATTGCCACTAAAATTGTAGTTTTTTAATACAGTATACACAAAACACTGTATACAAAAAAAAAAATCTTTTGACGTACATTAGCTAATAACTGTATGTATATAACCAGGTTTATTATAGAAAAAATGCATTAACATCACTATATTTATTTGTTGTCTTTAATTGGAGCGAAAATGTATCTAAATATAAGGAGTCCCTAATTGGCGGAACAGATAATTATTAAAGATAGACTTTCAACAAGTGCCGAAAAAATGTGGTCTTTAATTGGAGGTGCCGAAAAAATGTGGTCTTTAATTGGAGGTGCCGAAAAAATGTGGTCTTTAATTAATTAATTAGAGGGGTCTTTAATTGGAGGGAGTCTGTTCAAGTAGAGTAAATACACAATACCTTGTAGAATTTTAATGTACATTTATTTCTTGATCTCCTTACTTGCAGATTTATTAGTTTTGTATTTGTTGTGTCTACGATGTACATTTATATTATTATTCTTATCTGGGATTCTAAAAGTAATCAAGAAATGATCAAGACGGCCCTTTGTATCCTCGGAATCCTCTTAAAGACAAGCGCACAATCTTAACAAACAAGTTATGTGTAAGAAAAAAATTAAGATCTTCAAAAACGCTTTATCTTAAATAGTTTTATTATACAAACAATAGTTCATAAATACAGTACTTATAGTACAGTACTATAGTTATGTACTCATACAATACATTTACATTTAACCAAGGCATTAAAAAGTTTATCATTAAGCCATGATTTACAGAGCAGATGACAATACAATTATTATTATATATAGACTCAGAACGTTACATTAACGAGGGATGTCATTGGTTCATGTACTGTACATGTATTTTTTGGAAAAAAAAGAAAGAAAAAAAAAGAACGTGTTGGTACAAATTTTTAAAACAGATTCACTGGCTAATCCAGAACTTTACAGCGAGTGTTAGTTGGGGAAGGTTCCCAATACGTTTTTTTTATTTCTTTTTATTGTGAAAAATGAAGCATGTCTTTCTTTCGTCTGAATCCGGCGATGTGTCTAATCCTGCACAGCAAAGTTCATCATAGCAGATGCTATATTATTAGAATATATATTACTATCATTATTAGCACAGAGGATTTGAAACAGCAATGGGATTAACTTCAATGTCCTATTTTTGTTAGTGTACAGTGCAGCAGCAGCCCACATGTAATTTAATGTAGTTATAAACGTATACTGTAAAATTAACTACGTATTGTATACAATCGACCTTTCCGCTAAGCCCCGCCCCTTGGATACTGTTGCTAAGGTCCCGCAAGACGATTGTTAAAACATTCGCGAACACGTGTGCTGTTCTGATTAGCCAGTTGATAAGTTTGATTGACACTCCAGAAAGTTCTATTGTTTTGTTAAATCAGCGACGATGATGATCTGACATAATGCATTAGCATCAGTGGCGCACAATTAACACGCTTCAGCGTGAGAAGAGAATGAGTTATCAGTGTAAAAAAGCCAAGGCAATGATATACGGTAATCTATACCATATTAGACATCAGGAATACAAAATATGTGAAATCTAAATACAAAAAATGACAATCATGTGTCAAGTTTGTACAACGGTAATTAAGCAAAACAGTAATAAACCAGGCAAGTTCATCAAAGCTGAAATTTAAGATTATATTTCTATAGCTATAGTATTATTTTCATACTACCTTTACTTTTCTGCTGATCACCAGTTGGTGAATTTCTTAACAACTTCTTACCATTGCACTGTCTGTAGTGTTGGTGAATTACTGTTATGTTATTGTGGCTATCACCATTAAGAATATGTTATTGTGACCCCAAAAACATTATTTTTAAGGGCCAAATTTTATAGTGCAATGATTTCACAAAAAAATTGTCAAATTATGCTTAAACAGAAACGCTAACAAGATTAGTTTATCAAGGCTTTGAGTAATTAACATTGATCTTTGACTTGATCAACTGCTATTTACAAATTCTTCATGAGCATGAACAAGAAATACTTTCTTTTGCAATAAAAAACATCATTACTTACTTATCTGAACAACTCAGTCAGATATATAACAATTAACATACTGTAGGTGTTACATGATAAATTTTCTGAATTTACTAAAATTTGTACCATTATTTAACTAATGTTCACATGCCTTAAATTGTTCCAAGACTTGTAGTGACCACGAAATACCAGCAGAGTTACTGTCTTATAAGCCTCTAGCAAAATGGTGATGCTGTTGGGTCCTTTGTTTTGAAAACATCTTTCAATGGTGCAGGTGGTTGTGGAACTGACAGAGCAGGTATTCCTTGTTCCGGATGTGTAACATTCGGACCCAGCCATGTACCAGAGTCTGACTGACTGCTGGGCGTTGATACTTGACTCATTCTTGTCTGGTGGCTTGAAGTAAAAGAACCAAGTATTTGGGGCATATTATGATGAGCATTTGGTACAGGTCTGTGTTCCATTAGGCTGCAACTTGAAGAGCTGTCTGCATCGCTGCTAGCTTCCATTCTTGCAATTTTAGGAATTGAAAATCCACCACCAGTTTCACTGGTATCGTCTTTCATAGGTCTCTTTCGTGGATCAGAGAGATCAGTATTCACTTGAGCTTTCATATTCTGACGAGGTAATCTGGGATCAAATGCCCTCTGTCTGGGATCAGAGGGAGGTAATGAATGAACACGTGGGTCTGATTGTGCAACTGGTCCTCGAGGCTCTGCTATTCTTGGATCTTGTGGTCCTGTTGTATGCACTCTTTGATCAAGGATAGATGGGTTGCTTCGTCTGGACAGACGAGGATCATTCAAAGCTGATTTAGGAAGATCATTTCCTTGAGTATTGGTTTGTCCTGTATTTACAGGACCAGCTGCCCGCCAACTGCCAGGGCCCATCTCATGTCTCACAGCTGCACCGGACTGAAACCGTGGTCTTGGTGCTGGTCCAGGAAAAGGCATTCTTTGGGGAAGACCTCGTGGAGCAATGCCTCGAGGCGGCGGGCCCATGTTAGTTGGCATCCTATTTTGTGGTCGTAACAATGGAAAATATGGTTGTCTTGGGGGGCTAAATGTTGATGGAGGACTATTTCCAGCATCTGGTTTTAGTCGGGGATCTCTAAATGCAGGTGGAGGTCGTCCAGCTGTAGGATCTTGACCAGAAGCTAACCACATGCCTTCATTTTTATTTGGTGGGCCTCCAAGTGGGTCTCCAGGGCCACCAAATCTCTGGGGCCTTATTTGCGAAGCTGGAGGTGGACTCCCAATGCCAAAATCTGCAGGTGGTCTCAACAAAGCTGCAGGCATGGAGGGTCTAATTCGTGGATCTTGAGGTGGATTCTTCATTTGGGAAATCTGAGGGTTAAGATTTGTGCCTTGAACCTGGGCTGCATTACCTACATCTTTAACCTTTTGTAACCGTGGATCTGAGGGTTTAACAACAGGCTGAGGTGCTTGTGGAAAACTGACCCTATTTTTAAGTTCAGTAGGTGTTGTCAATTCTATAGGTGTAGGTGGTTCACTCACAGTATGCTCTGACGCCATCCACTTACAGACCTTAAATGTAAGGTTACGGATATTCTTTCGGTCACGACCAATCCTCGGATCTTTCACATCCTGACTGTGTGTTATATCCACAAGTCTAAAGTCACACGGAGATGACGGCCCACTTGGCATGTTATTAGCTGCATTAATGTCCACAGTTAAACTGTTCTTTGGCAAAGCATTTGTCTCCGATATAACTGGATTAGAAGATGATGCTGACGATGGTACAAGACCTGTCATCTCCAGTAAACTTACAATTGCATTTGGAAGCTGACCAGTTGGCTTCAGTAATGACCTATCAGAAGGACCGGTTGGGGCTGCAGAGGTTGATGATGAAGTGTTTGTACGAATCGTCTTCAGAATCATAGACAAGTTTTTCTTCGATTCATCTTCCTCATCACTTGAATACCAGTTATCAGCATCATCTAAATAATAATAACAATAATAGTAATAATAATAAAAATAGAAACTATACAGTATGTTTTATTAAAATAAGAATATCACATAAGTTATAAGTTACTTGTGAAACATGCTCAAATGCTAATCTACATTGCATTCATAATTTACAAGACTGTGAATAGCATCGCCGGCTCAAATGCTACATTGCATTTCCAATACTGTGAATAGCAACGCCGGCTCAAACGCTAGATAAAGTAATTAGAGTACAGGGTAGAATTGTATATGAAAATTTACAAAATAAAACAATTATAAATAATAACTATAACACTATTATTACTTTTGTGAACTTTTATTTTATCAAAAGTTATGTTATATATTAATTTTTAATAATTATGAAAAAGGTATTAATTTTTTACCAGTTTTCTGTGCCTTAGGTGTTTCGTCCTCAGTGGCAGAATCACTTTGCTGTTTCTGCTGAATTCTTAAGAACAGTTCCCGTTGTTTAGCGGGCATTGGAGGCACTGCAGCCGTCGAGTGGGGCTTCTTAACTTCTATTTCGTTGCTAGGATTGTCTACTCGAGTTTGTGGAATGGGGTTCGAAGCAGTGTCTTCTACCTGTTGATCTGAAAACAAAGGTTGCATTTAGTATTTAATCAACTTCTGCTGTGATTCTAGAACAAATATTTCTTTAGTATCTTATATGCTGCTTGGAATACAATATGGATAAACATGAAAAAACACTAAACGATTCAAAAGTGACATGAATCTGAAAAGAAAGTTTTTGTTCACTCACTTTAATACAGACCTTATTACAACTAAAAAATAGTACAATCCCCTGTTTGATCAACTTGTGGAATAAGGATGATTCAGCAGAGTAGTGTTCTCATTCTTAGTTTATGAGACGGAGTTCTGATCTTTATTCTTTTAATTTGATTAATGGTTATCAAAAAATATTTATTGAGTTTTGGCTTTGTGGAATTGTGGATTTTTTGTTTTATTTATTGGTATATGCATTTCTATGATGGTTTTAACATTACATGTGTTCCGATATTTTTATATTTGTATATGTTTTTTTTTTTTTTTGATGTTTTGTACAATTGTTTCAATTCAGCCTTTGACTGCCATGTTCAATCTTTGATGTTTTTGAATAAATATACCTTGAAAAACAACAACAACAACAATAATAATAATAATGATAATAATGATAATATTAATAATGATAACAATGATAATAATGATGATAATAATAATAATGGTAAAAGAAAATGAATTTTTAAGCATTAAGCAAGAACTTACTATTTGACTGTTGATGTACACCTTGATCTCTTGATTGTTGGAGTTGATTATTCATTTGGTTATTTACATTTGCTTGCTTATGGCTCCCCTCATACTGTTGCTGCTTCCTTGACTCTGGTGCTGCCTGCTCAACTTGCGTTTCCTGCTTCGGTGTTGTAGAAACTTCTTGTTTTTGAAAATGTTCATGTTGTTCAATAGATTCTTGAGCCTCTTCTGCACCATAGAATTCAACCCTTCGTATTAAAAAAAATGATATTTTATTACTCTCCCCATTCAAGAAACAGAACATTTTATTGGTTGTTGCAACAAATTAAAATGTGGGCTTCCAAACTTGTGTCTTTGGGCAACTCTTCATCAACATAGTCTTTTATTGTGGATAATTGTTGGTTGGAATACAAATGTGCGATGATTACTGCAACAAATTTCTGAAATACAGGTCACCCTCTAATTAAAGATTCCTCCAATTAAAGACTTTCATTTAAATACCATTTTACTGCAACCCAAATTAATGTCTATCTTTTATTTCAATACATAATATTTTTTTAAGTAAGGCTGCTAAAGATCATGAAACCCCAGTCCAAAAAGTGGTTTTTAATACCATTTAATAATAATAGTGATAATTTAGCTCATGCCGATGTGTGGACATATCTCGTTCACTTTCTCTTTAATTGGAGGGAGACAAGGGTGATCTATACTCTAAAAGGGACCTGTAAGTATGTACTTTGCAGGTGTGAGATCAACCAGTGTAGTAATGTAATGACATGTTTTTATGGAGGTTTGTGCTTTGCATTATAAAGGAAAGAATGCACAATATAAATGCAGAGTACAGTACTACAAAAAAATATATATATACATTTTTGGTATCATAAATATTTAGTATATACAATGTAAATCCCTTACGGTTTTCTTTTTAGGAAATCCTCAGTTGGTGCAACCTTTATATCAAATAATGATGGTATAACTGGATTCACATTGTCATAGGGTGAGTCACCGAGAAGTCCAGGCTTAGTTGTTGGTGGAGGAAAATCTTTGTTACTGTTCAAAACCTGATGAAAAAATACAACATTTGATTATGGCCAAGTTAAAAAAACTATTTCTCATCCAAATATATTTTAATAAATAAAAGGGAGGCACCTTTTTGGCCATCAACTTACTTTAGAGTCAATATTCCATTAAAAAGGGAAAATGATGTACGCAGGCCAAAAAAAAATACATTTTGGAATTTGTTAAAAAATATTTTAAGCCAATTTCATTAGTGCAAGATATGTTTGACTTTTATCCATTCAACGAAGGCCTACAATGTTCTTTCAACGATGCCATGTGATGTTTAGAATTCTAGCAGGAATAGCATCCATAAATTGAGAAGGAATTAAATTTGAAATCTCCTTTTTTTTTTAAACATGTCTAGGGGTCCTATGGCACTACAGGTCTGACAAAATTCTAGGCCTAGAATTCCTAAGCCTGATATTGATGGATAAATTTATTTGGTGTAAACACCAAGGAAAACCACAAAAGCCTGAAGAAGACTTAATTCCTTCGGGGGTCCTTCTGGTGATGATTGGGCAGTACCTCATGAGACAATCCTCTACTCTTTTCTGATTGTGTACTGCGTTCTTAAATGTGCGCACAGGCCATAATTCACACGGAACCTACGGCTTAAACGTTTCATCTGAAAGATGGTGCGCTATCTACTTGCATTTCAGCCCTCCAACTGAAACACAAGGAGAGAAAAGATGGGAATTGAACTGGGGACCTAGAAATCTCCACGGTTCAGCACGCACATGGTGGCTACAACTGAGAGGGCTGCTGCTGAGATGGCTGCTCTCACTAAACTGCCTGCTCTCTTATGGCGATGCCAAGTATTTCATGACTGAGAGAAGAGGTTGAGGACCTGAGAAAAACTAACAAAACCAAACAACAATGCCTAGATTGCTTACTACTATCCACTAGCACTGTTGTCACCATAAGACCTTATCAGACACTGACATTGACAATTATTTTAGTATGTTTTTAAATACAAATTAGACTTCATTATATTTGTCTTACTTACTTTGTCCAACAACGGTCTAGTTTTATCAGTAAGTGTTCCATGAGAGAACTTGCAGTTGTCTCCTTGAAAGCATGGTTGGCCCATGTGAAAAAATTTGCATGGATATTGACCCATTAAAGAGTTAAGAGAAACTCAATAGTTTATATCACTTTTTACAATGCATATTGGAGTACAAAAGAAATAAAAATATATGTATGTATGTATGTTCATATAAGATCTCTGTGACTCAGACTAGAGTAATTAAGTATTAAAAAAAAAAATCTTATACTGTATTCAAAACTCAAAAGCAATTTGTTGATCCTCAACAGTGACGTACCTAGGGGGTATCGCAGGGGGCGTATGCCCCTCCAAAAATACTTGAGACACCCAGTTAAGCAGTTAAAAATCACCTAAAATTACCTTATTTTGCAAGTTAGTGCCCCTCACATAATCATTGAAGCCCCGCTACATGACCTTCGCGCTACCCCATCAACCCCTCCCCCCATCTTAAGATCCTAGATGCGCTACAGATCTTCAAACAGAATTTTAAAATATAAAACAAATGTGTCAAGCATGAGAAATCAAATGTTGTACAAACAATTATCCATGATAGGTGTTTACCTGTCTAATTTGTGTGTACTAAACTCAAAAGCAATTTGTTGATCCTCAACAGTGACGTACCTAGGGGGTATCGCAGGGGGCGTATGCCCCTCCAAAAATACTTGAGACACCCAGTTAAGCAGTTAAAAATCACCTAAAATTACCTTATTTTGCAAGTTAGTGCCCCTCACATAATCATTGAAGCCCCGCTACATGACCTTCGCGCTACCCCATCAACCCCTCCCCCCATCTTAAGATCCTAGATGCGCTACAGATCTTCAAACAGAATTTTAAAATATAAAACAAATGTGTCAAGCATGAGAAATCAAATGTTGTACAAACAATTATCCATGATAGGTGTTTACCTGTCTAATTTGTGTGTACTAATGATTAGAACATTCATCTGTATAAATTTTTTTAGTAACCCTTTTGGTGATAAGAGTGTACTGCCACTTAAATGGAGGCTATAGCGCCCTCTGTAAAATGAAAGGATACCATGGTAGAACAGACATGTTTCGCCTCTGGCACAGCTATCTTGAAGATAAAACTTACAGATTTCTGGCTTCTTTGGTGGGTTCAAGTCGTGACTATACGTACAATTTGCTCCCTATAACAAAAATAGAATACATAGGGCAATAATCAACTTGCACATATAAAAGTAAAATAAGAAAATTAATTAAAACAGGGAGTAATAATAATAAAAGTTAAGTGATGGTCTCTGAGAAATATTCTAGTCATTTATAGTTGTGCATTGTACACAGATAAATAAATTTCAAATTTCTACCTAATAATACTGTTGTATGAGGAGACACAGTAATGAACCTCATTTAAAGCTGGAAACTCACTGCATCGTAAAACAGCCATACGACCATCAGCCAATGAATCCAACTGCGTGATAAACAGCATGATGCTGTCTGCTGTTGGTCGCTGTTTGAATAAATCGTCATTAAAAGTAAACCGTTATGCGGTTGCATTGTGTTGCATTCTCCACAGAATCACGTCGACTGATGACCATAGGGCGTGGTGAGTGCCCGGCTTAAAAATGTAAGCGTAGACAGTGACGATTCCAACCATAAAACTTATTCATATATAAAACTGTAATTCTTACCTTTAAACAAGCATCATCCAAATAAAACTTGCAAATGAGGTTCTTGGTAATTTCTGGCGGTGGCTTTGATTGCTGAGACCGAGGTACTCCCTGACCTTTACCCCTTTGACTTCCCCTGCCTCTGTCACCACCTCCTCTGCCTCGATCCCCACCTCCTCGTCCTCTATCTGATCCACGTCCCCTATCTGATCCACGCCCCCTATCTGAGCCACGTCCTTTATCCGAACCACGCCCTCTGTCAGCACCTTTTCCTCTGTCTATTCCTCCCCGCCCACGTCCCATATCTCTTCCCCTTCCACGTCCTCCCCAGAATTCCATTCCTCTCCCTCTCCCAAAAGATGCATGAGGTGGACTGCTTTGCATAATCTGCAGGATAACAAATGTGTGATTATGAGTAAAGCCCTGTCCAGACTATTAAGTTTTATTTGACAAAAACATGTGACATGCCTAAATATGGTCATGATGACATCACATCATGACCATATATAGGCACATCATGACTATATATGGGAATTTAATTATCTGGACAGAGTTAATGATGCACATAAAGATACTTTTTATAGTTTAGCTTTATATCTTAAGTTTTAATTATATTGATACCTTAAGCAGAGTGTTGTCACCAGCAGGGGAAGAAGGATTTTCCCCCTCACCAAACCAAAAATGTTAATTTTCATTCTAGATGTTAAATTGATTGCCAAACACTAATATTGTTGTCTAAAAGCGCTATTTTGGGCTTTAGTAATCCAGAAAAACTCTTCCCATGAACACTACAAGAGATTTCTGGAACCCTCCCAAGGCTCTAGTCGGCCCCCTCCCTCCTGGTTGGACCCCTCTGTCGGACATGTCTGACCCTCATCTCTGCAAATTTCTGGAGCTATCACTGCTTAAGCATGTATTTTAGCCCTGTGCTTACCATTTTGACTATTTTAAAAAACAACATGTATTATATGAATTGACTGATGGTTGAACTATGAACCCTGACCTAAAAAATGAAAAATATGGATACATACACCATCCATATCAATGTCATCTTGCTCATAGCCATGCTCATGTTTGTAGTGCATCTCTCGGTACCCATGTTCATCATCCTCTGACATGTATTCTTGTTCTGATTGCTGGCTGTAGAAAATGAGAAATTTAACAATGTGATTTACAAGACTGTGGTTTGTATTTATCAAAAATTATTATAAGTGGTGGGCTATAAAAGTGTGATACTTCAAATACCAAATGTACATATCTTAAATGAAGCGGCTTGTTGTCTGGAACATTTTGACACCATTTTTAAGAAAATCGGTTAAAAAATGGGACAGCGTGGGCCACAAATGAAAATGAGGGGGGGCGGGGGAAAATGACACCCTTCGAAGGTTAAAATACATGAAAAAGGTCATAGCTTTTTTAACTGAAGTCACATTTTGGTAATATTACTGTCTCTATATATATGTTTTTGAGGCCAAGGAATTGATTAGTGGTGGCAGACATAGCTTAACAAATAATTTCAATTTTTGAAATTTTATGAATTTCTTTAGGTATTACGGTAAGAATAGAAGAATTCTAGGATCAAAAATATGTATGTAATTTTTTTTCTATCATTAATCATTGTAGCATTAGCAATGATCTCCACCAGCTTAATTTAATTAAATAATAATAATAATAAAAATATAAATAATTAAATGATTATAATAGATATTATAGATTTATATTTATGTATTTTACACCAGTTTAGCTAGAACTTTCACCCTTGCTAAATAGATTTAAATAAATAATAATAATGATAATAATAATAATGAAGACCATGATGATACTGAAGAAGATGATGATGATCATCATATTGATGAAACTGAACA